TATCCCGATCCTAGCCCTGTTTTAGGGCGCACCGACCTCCTGGTGGCACCAGCCTCGAAGGTATCCCTATCCCTAAGATTGACACGCCAAAAGGAGATGGCAGTCTCAGGGATGCACCCGCAGGAACTGAGGAAATCCCTAAGATCGCCATCGTGATGAGGCGATGCCCAACATAGGGATAGGGATACAGGCCTCGGACAAAAATTAGCGAACACTCATGCCACATTCATCTGTGAACGCCTCCCCCTTCCCCCAATGTTCAAAGTTGGCGGTGGGTCTGATGAGTTGCACCTCGACCGCAGTCTCCCCCCCGCGTGCCAACTTTGAGTTTTGGGGGCAGGGGGGGTGTTCACTAATTTTTTTCCCTCTACCGTATGTTCCAGGCTGGTAACGGTGGCCCACGCATCGCCGACGGGGGCCGCACAGCTCACGCCGCCCGGGAGCGTGCGGGAGTCTCGCTGTGGCGTCAAGGCGGGCCTGTCCCCCAGCAGGAGGAGTGCCCCAAAGCAGTAAGGCAAAACAGTCTGCGGAGGATCTCTTTAGTTTTTTTTTTGTTTTGCATATTTCTGGAGTGCTCTTTCATTTTTCGCCCAGAATCCGCCTGTAGGAGGACACGCCCGACCTAAAGCTATCGGGGGCCTGTCGCCGAGCTTTCGGCGAGAGGTGCCACCGAGAGCCCAGGCTTAGGTCGGGCGTGTCCCCTTACAGTTGGATTTTGGACGATAAATGAAACATGCACCAAACATATGCAAAAATAGTACAAAAAAACATCAACAAATCATCCCCAGATTTTTGTTCGACTACTTTTGGATATTCCTCCTGTAGAGGGACAGGCCCGACTTAAGGCAAGGACACGAGGGCGCACCCTGGATGAAGGCGCGCGTCCTTAACAGGGGCGTTGGCTGTGTTGGGAAAAAAGAGCGAGGCGAGCGAGCGAGCGCCCGCTGCTGGCCCAGCGAGCCAGGGGAGGGGGGGGGGGGGGGAGGCGGGAGGCTATGAGGGGGGGGGGCGAGGCATGGAGGGAGTGACCTGGGAGCCCACGACCCCCGGGCACGACCTGAGCCCGGGCCAAGGCCTCCTCCCCCCGAGGCCCGTCCGGCCCTCGCTCCCCCCCGTCGCTGCCGCCGCCTCGCCCCGCGGGGAGCCGCGCCGCGGAGCCGCCGCGCGCCGCGTGTGCTCCGGCCGCGGTGCGGTGCTCCCTGCCCTGCGTCGATCGAGCGGACTGCACTGGGGAGCCTGGCGAGGGTCCAGCCTCGGGTATACGGTGAGCGGCTTGAATCAGGAACACTGACTTTTCAAAAGGGGCTCGGTCGTTCCTTAGGCTTACATGCGTGATTTTCAGTTCCTTATGCGTTATGTATTATTTCTCGTTCCTTATGCGTTATTCCATGGGATTAAAACAGGGGCTTCGTTCCTTATTTATCGTTCCTTAGGTCAGGCCGATGACTGTAGCCAGGACCCCAGGTGAGGGGGCCCAGCTAGTAGCAGGGCCCCGGAGCCCCTCAGTTGACCAGCGCCACTAAACTGGATCTGCCGCAGCTGGTGTTTTTCGGGTGCCCGCAGTTCCGGTCGGTGGAAAAGGGCGGGGGGGGGCGTCCCCCAGTACACATCACTGAACCAGTTCCCACTAAACCCAGTTCTGCCAGCGCTCGAAAGTCGGGCGCGTCCTTTTACAGGAGGAATATTTAAACATAGGTGTAAACTTATAGTATGGGGAGGATTGCCTTTTTTGGAGCATTTTTTGTGGCTTTTCGAAAAACATTCGTCCAAATTCTGCCTGTAGGAGTCGGGCTGGACGAAAGGGGGGGATAGGGAAAGGGAGGGGTACGACATCTGCTGCATGCAGCTGGTTTCGGCCCCACCGAGGGGCCCATTCCTCGATACATGGGCGCCTGCCGGCGCCGGGAGACGCTGGGAAAATCAGCCACGTTAGCTGATTCTCGAACCCCCCCTTTGCTATGGATCCCCCCCTTTCGCCCGGCCCGAAGGAGGACCTGCCCGTTTTACATGTTTAAAACATGTTTTGTTTGGCAACATGCTTCCTCTCCATGGATCGTCCTCCACAGGCCTATGAGAACTCCTCAGGGATCGGAGACGAGACGTGTCACAGATGGAGGCCTTCCTGTTTCTCCTCCTCCTCCTCCTCCTGGTCAACCTCCTCCTCCTCCTCCTCCTCCTCCTCCTCCTCCTGGTCAGCCTCCTCTTCCTCCTCTGCATCAGCGTCCTCGTCGTCTTCACCACGGCTCGCCCAAGGCGAGGGCGAGCAGCCGCGTCGCTCTTCGTGCCTCGGCCGCGGCGCGGGGGGGGCTCCTCCCGGCGCGGGGCGCCGCGGCGCTCCCCCCCCGCGCCCCTTCCTCGGAGGGCGGCGGGCCGGCCGTGGCCGGGCCCCGGCCTGGGCGCCCCTGCTCGGCGGCGTGCCCTTCTTGGCCAAGCGGGGAGGGCCGGACAGTGTCGGGAGCGGAAAAGAGGGGGGTGATGACTAGGGGGGGGTGGATATCATGGCGCGGGCCATGATATCTCCGCAGATTTCATGGCGCCTCTTCTTATTTCATTACGTCCCTGGCCCCCCCGCTGGGCCGCGCACATGCCGCCGGTCATGATTTGCACCCCCCCCTCTTGGACACCCCCCTCTTGGCCGCTCCCGACAGTGGAGACCCATGCCAGGAGACACCCTGCTTTTGCTTGGCATCGCTCGGACGTGTGCTTTTTTTTCTTCGGCGAGGACCATCGAGGAGCATCCTCGATCATTTGGCGAAAAAGCCACGCACGAAACCGAAAAAAACACGGGAAACGGACGTCCGAGCGACGGCAAGGCCTGAGCCCCTGCTCGGCGGCGTGCCCCCTTGGCCAAGCAGGGAGGGCCGGGCAGTGGAGACCCATGCCACCCAGACCCCCTCGGGTAATGAAGACATCGCGACGGGAAGTGTTTCAAGATCTTCGGCCCCTGGGGGCCCTGCCGGGCCTCGGGACTGTCAAAAAACGACTCGGGATGACGAACCGGTCCCGGGGGATTGGGTTCAGACCTCTGGGGGTCGACGCTATGAACAAATCATGACGTCGGGGGTCTGGGCAGGAGACACCCTGCTTTTGCCTCCAGGGTGCCCTGGGTTTCTCGGGTTTCGATGGCCTTGCCACGGCGAGCGCGGCGTTCCCGCACCAAGAATCCGTGGGAGTCCTAGAGAGTCTCAGGTTTGGGCATCTTGTGGAAGGTCTCTTGTGGTCAGGCCCCTGCTGTGTACAGCACTCCGGATCAGTGCAGTCAAGAGCGAAACGAGGACGCACACGTACACGAATCCACGCTGGTTTCGAGAGTACGCATTGCGCGAATGTTCGTATCCCGCGGCCGGTCTCGCGGATCGAGGGCCCGTGTTCATGTACATAGTTGGGCGCGTACGTCCGCTGTGAGTTTCCTGTGTAGGTGAATCGTCGGCGCCTTCCGGGCCTCTATTCTCTTCATCCCCTCCCGCACTCCGCGTCCTCCTCTGCCTCTCCTCGTCTCCATCCTCCCAGGCCCCCCCACTCGCTCTCTCCTGTATGAGGGCCATTTCAAGCAGCGATTGTGGAGACACGCTGTTCTTTCTTGGTATTCGTCGTCACCCTCGCTCTCCTTCCCCCCCCGTCTCTCGCCCCCGCCGCCAGATCGTGGTGGCTATAGGGGCCGTCGCCCGGAAGTTCAGACCCTTCCCCCAGGACCGGCATTTCATCTCGAGCAGCTCTTTGCCGCCCCCAGGGCCCAGGAAGGTTTTTCGGACGCCCGATATATTGTCAAGCGCGCTGCCTCGTGTTTTGTTTGTCTAAGCATGGGAGGTCCCCAGACACGCTCCGACATGACTTTTCTCAATCCGCGGCCCCAGAAGTCCGGACCCATTCGCTGGGGTTAGTTGTTCGTCCTGGACATGCTTTTTGGTGGAAGGTCCCGAGGCTTTGCCTCCTCCCGGCCTTGCCGTGAGCCGCGCTCCGTCTGCCTCCCCCTCTGTTAATTCAAGCTTCGCGCGGCCCGCTTAGCTTCGACCGGAAGAGGTGCGCTCTCGACCCGCGAATCAAAAAACGTTTTTTGGTGGAACCCGGAGCCCGAAGGCGGGCTTCAGAGGCACCGACACAGATTCACACATTCAGATCGTCAGAGATCTGGGGGGAGGTCCGTGTTCCCTAGGCCTCCCAGCCTGCGGTCCGAGTAGATGGGGTCGGAGGATCGCGCCGCATCGTCGATGCATCGGCGATGTGGCTCGAATGTGGAGCCCGCTCTTCTCCGTGCTGGCGTCGCCGATGCACCGCCGACGTCGCCGATGCATCGGTGATGCGGCGCGATCCTCCGACCCCATCAACTCGTGCGGTAGCAAATCATGGGAGCCTGGCGTACCCTCTTAACACCGTCTTTAGCGTCGACTAGCGTCTGAGAGTCGATGAGATAGCGCCGATCCAGCGCCGGCTCGCGCCGATTAGCGTGGATGCGGCGCCGATCAGCTCCGATCTAGCGTCGACGAGCGTCGATTCGCAGGAGCCGACAAGACGGTATGGGAGGCTCCCATGAGCTGCCGCCGAAAATTCGGACCCCCCTCCCAGGAGGCCTCCGTGCCCCCGTGCAGGAGGACTCCGCACGCCCCTTAGTGGGCCCTGGAAACGACAGGGCCGTTTTTTTACCGGTTCCGTCGCCGTTTTTTGACCGGTTCCGGCTCCGGTTCCACTCCTGGAGCCGTTTTTTTGTTGCCGCTTCCGGTCGCCGTTTTTTTTTGCCGCTGCCATGTTCAAGGGGCACTTTTTTTTTTGGGAACGGTGAACAAACAGCCCTGCCGTTTCCGGGGCCCACAAAGGCACGCCCCTTTGTGCAGGCCGCGGTAGGTGGCTTGAGGTGCCCGACACGGGGTCTTGAGGCACAGTGCCCTCAAGCATCAAAAGAAGAAACTGGGGTTGTCTGGGGTCGTCCCTTTTTTTTTAAAAAAAAAAAAAAAAAAGGCACGCCCCTTTGTACCGCCGCGCGGCCCCGCCCCCCCGCGCCCCAGGTCTGCCAGGCGGGCCCCCACTTCGGGGTGCCGCTGGCGCCCCTGGGGGCCCTCGGTGCGGGCGAGGCGCCCCCCCTCCGCGGGGTGGCGGCGCGCGTGCGGGGGGTCCTCCTCCTCCTCCTCCTCCTCCTCCTCGTCCTTCCTCCTCCTCCTCCTCCTCCTCCTCCTCCTCCCTCCTGGGGGAGGGGAGGAGGGGAGGAGGGGGGGGGGGCCGCAGATGGCAGGAGGAGATGAGGCATGGAGGGCACTGGGGGGGGAGAGCGGGGGTAGGAGAAGGAGGACGGGAGGGGCAAGAACAGGGGGAGGAGAAGGAGGAGGAGGAGGAGGAGGAGGAGAAAGAGAAAGAGAAAGAGAAAGAGAAAGAGGAGAAGAGGAGGAGGAGCGAGGACCGGAGGCCACGAGCTACGTCGAGGCATAGCTGAACTATGTCCTCCGGCATGAGGGACTACGGGAAGCACGCTAGGTCGCGATGGCCCTCAAGCAGACCGTTTTTGCCCACTTCGTCAATCACCAGCTCGCCGCGATGCTAACACACCAGATCGGCGACAGTTGCGACGACATAACCCCAGGAAGCATTTAAGAACCCCCCCCCCCCTTCCGGCAAATCGATAACCCTTCCGCACCCTGGAAGCGTTACCTGGCACCAGGAGCCCTCCTCCTCCTCCTCCTCCTCATCCTCCTCCTCCTCCTCTCCTCCACCCACGAACTTCCTCCTGCCCCCTCCTCCTCCTCCTCCTCCTCCTCCTCCTCCTCCTCCTCCTCCTCCTCGAATTTGAATTTCGATTGTAGCCCAGGGGCCAGGCCTCCGCGAATTTGTTGTGTGTCCGGGTGCTAAACCTATCGTGCGGTTATTTCGGCCCCTCGGAATATCGAATAAAAATGCGGTGCTAAGATATCGCCGGGGGGGTTCTTAAATGCTTCCTGGGGTTACCCACGCCAGCTGCAGTTGCCTACCAACGCTGCAGCCGACTCATGCACATCAAGCTGGGCACATGCTACAGTCCGACCTCCCAACTTGTGCTCTTTGCTATCACCTTCTTCCAGAGAGTGAGAGAGAGAGAGAGAGAGATATACCGTTGCCGCAGCCATCAACAAGGTCAACGAGCCGATCAACGCCCAGGACCCCGATCTGCGTGCCGGTACCTCGGGGCACGTGACCCAACCACAGGGTGTAGCTGACCAGCCGCAACATGCCACCAGCTGTAAGCAGCAGCCCAACGCAAGCATGAGCTCCGACCCTCGCACCGAGCCACAGCGCCACGCTTCGCTGACACAAGTACCAGCACTGCAAGACCAGGAGGCCAGCCCCAGCAGCCTCATCGCCAGGCCCTCGCTCAAGCTGCAGCCCTGCGCAAGCAGCGCGCAGGCCTGCACGCAGACCACCGCCGAAGCACGGGCCGACACGCAGCAGCACCACGCCCAAGATCTCAGGCGCAGCTGGCTGTGAGGAATACAGTAGGAGCTCGACCACAAGAAACCTTCCACAAGATACCCAACCTTGAGACCCCAGGACGTCTATTGATTTGTTGGTGTGGGGAAGTCAAGCTTTCCATAGCAGAACCATAGAAACCCGAGAAACCCTGGGCACCCTGGAGGCAAGCAGAGTGTTTCTTGGCATGGGCTTCCATTGTAACGACGAACAGCCGGTGCCGGGAGTAGGGGAACAAAAAGTTACATAAACATAAAAACTCTGAGATCCGCGCGGATTTCTCGGATCGGCGCTGGACCCCCCTCCCTGGCGCGCGGAGCGCGCCAGGGGCGGCGCCGGAGGCGCCGCCGGGGGGCCCCAGCGCCGATCCGAGAAATCCGCGCGGACCTCCGAGTTTTTATGTTTGTGTCACTTTTTGTTCCCCTACAGGGAGATGTCCACAAGACGATCGCCGACCACGACGCAGCCACGCCAACCTACGACGCCAGCCCTCCCAGTCACCCCGGGAGATTGGAAGTACCGACGGCCAACCCGCAGGGGGGAGGGCAAGGCAACCCCAAAGACCTGCAGGATCAGTAGGCCCACATCTTTGAGGCGGCCACCACGACCAGAGTTGGCCAAGGATGGCAGCCATAGCCACCTTACGACGTCGCCTACCAAGCAGTGGCGAAGCGTCCTGGCTCGCCTATAACCCTACCAAACAATGTTCTAAGAACCTGTCGTGTTTCCCACGAAATGTTCTTAGAACATTTCTGGCTGGGAGTGTCTTGTTTTATCACATCGAGTTTATGCTCTAAGAACATTGTTGTTGTTATTAGAACATTTCTGGGTTCAAAGAACATTTCGTGGCATGACTATAGGAATGCCGGGACGGTCGATCCCTGTTCAAAGAGTTGGCCAAGGATGGCAGCCATGGCCACCTTACGACGTCGCCTACCAGCTCGAATGCAACACTGCGGCGAGTCAGGAGGCTCCCTCTGGTCGCCAGCCTCGGGGCCCCAGCCTCAGGATTCGGCCGGCCGAGCGGCCGCCCATCAGTGCGTCGCCAACCTCCTGCCTCTTGTTTGACCGTTGGTGCTCCATGACAGACAGGAGACTGCACCAGCTGCTCCATTCCCCTCCGCATCTCGGCGCTACGCCTCTGCCAAAACGTATGCACTCACCGACATCAGCAGCACAGCTCGTAGAAGACGGCTATCACCCACCTTTGTTTCAACGGCAGTGCATTGCGGAGACGACAGCCACGCAGCACGGCATACGGAGAGAGCAGCAACGGCAGTCATGTTATGTGTTGGGTCCCCAAGGGTTTCTGTTTATCCACAACGCTACGATATCCGACGCATTCAGTGGGTCCCTACTTTGTGTTTTGTGTCCCTCAATAGTTTGGGGGGTACCTGTAGTCCAGGGGGGTGGACCTGTAGTCCAGGGGAGGGTATACCTGTAGTTAGTCCGGGGGAGGGGGTACCTTGATCCAGGGGGGGGCGGGGTACCTGTAGTCCGGGGGAGGGGTACCTGTAGTCCGGGGGGGGGTACCTGTAGTCCGGGGGTGGGGCTTCGCGGGGGTACCTGTAGTCCGGGGGGGCGCGCATGTTATTCGTCCAAGGACGCGCGGTTCCAACGTGGGCGATGGGTGGAAATGTGCAGAGACATGCTTGGCTCCCAGGGAAAAGCACGTTCAGGGGGCCCTGTAGCTTCGGGGGGGATTTGTAGCGCCTGACGGGGGTACCTGTAGTCCGGGGGGCGGTACCTGTAGTCCGAGGGGGGGTCCGGGGGGGGGTCCTGTAGACCGGGGGGTTACCTGAAGTCCGGGGGGGTACCTGTAGTCCGGGGAAGGGGTACCTGGAGTCCGCAGGGTACCCGTAGTCAGGGGACCCAAAACTATTGAGGGACACAGAGTACGGGGCACTCTCACCCACAGGAACAGGCAGTGGGTCCTCACGGGGCTTCCTCACCCACGATCATCGCCACATGCGGCCCTAACCAACCTCCACCTTTCCTACTCTTTTTCTTGTGGCCCCCCCCCCCGCTTTGCCTCGCTAACCTCCCACCAGCCCTCCTCTTGTGGCGGCGGTGCGGGGCGGGCATCGGGAGGGGAGTGGGCAAGGATTCACCGCGGACCGTCCTGGCGAGGGCCAGGGCGGCCGCGGCCGCAGGCAGCGTCAGCGCACCTCCCCTCGCCCACCTTACACACAGAACCCGACCCAGCAGCCGCAACTTTGCGCTGCCTGCACCAACTAGCGGTGGGGGATTGACGGAGGGGCTGAGTGCAGCAATCACCGAGCTGGCCACCGCCACGGAAGGTACAAACCTCCCTCGTGCACAGTGGACCTTCCCCAAGCGCCCCCCACCCCCGCGGCCTGGGTACTTTGCCCCTGCCCTGCAGGAGGGTACCAGCCGCGGGGCTGGGGGACGCTTCGGGGGGCGGGGTCGCTGGGGAGAGGCCCTTGTGCCTTTGAGCTTGGCGAGGGTGGCTAGCGACCGTGACCAAGCGGGTGTGGCGAGACCGGCCATCGCTAGGAGTGCTCAAACCTCCCCCACGTTCTGTGGACCCCCCTCAGGCGGCCCTGAGGTCAACACTTCGGAAACCCGGCGCCTCTATGCAGGCGAGGGATCCCGTCGTTGATCTCGGGGGCGCCTGTGGGCGGTTCGTATAAGCAGAGGGAAGGCTTTTGAGCCTTCAGCTTGGCGTGCGTGGACACGGGACGCCGCCGCGACCCCTGCCGCCGTGCCTACAACCACCTCCCCTCCGCCAGCTGTGCCAATGCACTCTTGCACTTGCATTTGCCTCAGCCGCCTGCATTCCTCTATTTCACTTTTTTCCGTGCTCACTTTCGCTTCACCGCGCGCAGCGAACTGCCTTGCGCGCGAGCGTCATGGGCATCACCCCCTTTTCAATCCGCAACCGTGCTTTCCACCTCCCCCCCACTTCTGCCAAGCAGGGCACTTCAGAAGAGAGGGGCCCTGGGCGCTCTCCATGGCGCTAGCCTGAGGCGGCCAGAAGACTGGAAGGAGAGAGGACCTGGCGCAACCTCAAAATACTCAGTCCCAGGGGCCCCCGCCCATTTTGCTGTGCCACTGCGGCCCCGCTACAGCTGCCGCCATATGCCACCCCCCTCCATCCCTCCATCCTGTGGTAATGATGTTTCCGCCTCCCCCCGTCCTTCCCTCGACTTCGGTTCGTCGTTGCCCTTCTTTTTTTTTTTCTCCACCGCGCTGCTGGTGGCCCTTGGAGAAATGCTCCGAGGGTCACCTGGCCCCAGTTGGGTCACCCCCCCAGGGCCGACCGGCCCTTGGGGGGGAGGCTTCGCCCAGAGGATCGTGCAACCACCAGGAATCCGAATCAGGCGGAAGGGAAGGGAGGAGGAGGAGGAGGAGGGGGAGGAGGATGAGGAGGAGGAGGAGGGGGGGGTGGAGGGAAACTGAGGACGCGAGGGATGAGGGAGGGACAGAGGGAAACGAGGAGGGAGCGAGCAGGAAGAACAGGATTTGGGTAGTGGGCGGCCCATTTGTTTGTTGGCGGCGGGAGATGATGAGGAGGAGGAGAAGGAGAAGGATGCGTGCGCGGCGGAGAGAGCGGAGATATCGCCGCCCGGAAGCAGCAGGAGAGCTTCCACGATCTTCTGATCCGGCCGCGCCAAAAGTCGTTGTGTCTGATCGGGGCACATCGTTGGACAAGCACCACGGGCCTCCTGACCTAGTTCACGACCTTCCCATCTGGCCGCGCAAGATAAGAGTGACGGATGACCCAAGCAAAAACAACCTTGCTTGCCACCAAGGTGCCCTGCGTTTCTTGGGTTTCGATGGTTCTACGATGGATAGCGTGACGTCCCCATACAAAACATAAATGGACATCCTGGGGTCTCAGGGTTGGGTTTCTTGTGGAAGGTTTATTTAATCGCTTCGCTCATTCCGCCAGCCCTGGAGCGCTATTTGGGGCCTCTTGGGGCCGTCTTGGGGGCTTCTTGGGGGCTTCTTGGGAGCGTCTTGGGGCTCCTTGGCGGCGTATTGGGCTCCCCTGGGGCCTCTTCGGGGCCCCTTGGGGCGGGAGGGGGGGTAGTCGATTGCAGCCCCCCCTCGGAGGCCACGATCCTCGTGAGGGGTGGCGAAAAATAGCCTCCCCCCTGGGGATCGCCCGGGACCCGGCCGGGGATCGGCCGGGGTACTTTTCGTCCGGGGCCCCCCAGGGGCCGCCCCGCGCGCGCGAACTAGAAATATTGTTAAGCAGTTACCGGAGATCTTAGCACGCCTCTGGCCCGTTGGGCCGGCGAATTTTGGTCGAGCTCCTACTGTACACTCTGGCCGCGCAGTCGTGACTTCTTCACACCGCCGATGTCCAGGCCCCCGACATTCGCCGATCTGCTTTCCTCAATGTGTGGCCCCGGAGGGCTCCCGACCCCGCCCCCTGGGGCGAGCGTTTCGCTCCAGATCTGTTTGGGCCTGCTTCAGAACGTGTGGCCTTTAAGTTTCAGACCGTAAGATATTCGGTTTTCCGTGACCCTTTCTTCTGCAAGCGTGGCGTGCCGAAGGAAGCCGCCTTGCGTCTGGCTGTGCCTCCGACTCATAGAGTTGGTGGAACTGTCGACCCGCGGGGGTTAGCCAAACACGCAAACGACTGTGTTCGTGTGAAGGTCTCTGGCGCCGAAGACGGGCGCAGGATACCGAAGCCGAGGGCACACGCCTGGATGGAGAAACAGTCCAGTCGTCGGAGATCTGGGGCCCTAGGCCTCCTAGATGGAGTCCGAGTAGATGGGGTCGGAGGATCGCGCCGCATCGACGATGCGGCTCGATGCGGAGCCCGACTTTCTTCACACCGACGTCGCCGACGCATCGACGATGTCGCCGATGCATCGCCGCCGATGTATCGGCGATGCGGCGCGACCTTCCGACCCCATCTACTCCGACATACTCCGACCCCATCTGGGAGGCCTCTAGGTCGGGGATGCACCCCCCCATGGGGCGGTCTTCGGACGCACCCCGTATCGAGAATGGACGCCCCCCCCCCGCCGTGCCTCCCCGAGTTTGGTCGCGATTGGTTTGGCCCACTCGAAAACCAGGCGAGGTCGAGGAGTGGGGTCGCGATCCCCCCGTCGGAGGCGAACTCCGAACCCGACGGTTCTGGCAACTCCTTGGGCGGCTGGGTTCGGAATCCCGTGGCGAAGCGAAATCGGAACCCCATCCCGCCTTCCATCGATTCAGGAGAGTCGATGGCTGGCGGGGGGGTTCGGATGTCGCCACCTACAAGACGGCAGGGAAGACAAGGAGCAGGCCTCGGCAAGAGTTCTACAAAGTTAGAAACACGGCGATCCACAGCCATAGGCCTACAATTGCTAAAACAAGTACCGTAAACACGGGAAGCAACGCTACGATTTGTTAGCGCTGGTAGCCCATCGGGAGCCCAAATTACAACACGATAGCACGAACAACGAACATGCCCAGGGCTTTTTTTCTGGGGAGTCAAGCCGTGCGCCGCGCGCCCCGGCCGAGGCCTGCGAGGCCACCCTGGACCTGA